CTTCGCCTAGACTCAAGTTCTAAGTTTTATTACATGTTGGTTTTTGGCTCTAGAGTAAAAAGGGTCAATGAATTGTCCTTTGTTGGTGCCCCCTTGGACTGCCAAGCCCTCAATCCTGGTCCATTATATACTTTCGGATCAAGTTCAATTCGAAGGAACACACTTCCTTATGTCTATACGGCGGTGAAAACCACATGAAGAACATAGGTGTGAGCTCAAAGAATGGTCCCCTATCCCATATGGAGGTGAAAACCACACGAGGGAGTAGTTTCTCATTCGAACTAAATAGGATAAGAGCGGGGTTTTAGCTTATGTTATGAATATAGTGCACAGTGGGTGAGGAAAATCATAAAAAGATAAAATAATATACAACCTATTATTCTATTCTAATGACTTTAATTAAATATGTACACACATAAAAAACAATAAGTTAGTAAAATAATTAAAATAATTATAATAAAATTAAAACAAATTTATTATTTTATTGCAAAGACAAATAATTAATAAATTGGTGGCTGGACTCTCCTTTTTTAAAGTCCCCAGCAGAGTCGCCAAGCTGTCGAGACATTTCTATGTCCGACAACGAAGAGTGCAACTAGTACACCCCAAAGGACTAGTCTAAAAAAAAGTAAGTGTTTATCTTCCTTGAATCAGATTAAACACCAAGTTGTAGAGTCGCCACCAATCTTTTAATTTGGTGAGATTGATCACTAAAATATTATATTACTCTAATAAAATTCCTAAGAATAATATTAAAATAATACAACTCGGGTATGCTTACCAGAAAAATGAGTTCGGGAGTCGGTTACGTATGGGGAAGGATTAGCACCCCCATAACGCCCAAAATTGGTATTGATATTTATTAATTAGTGTCTTTGCAATAAATGATAAATTTGCTATTTAAATTTAAATTTACTAATAACTTAATATAAATAATTACTAAATAATATTTAAAAAATCTATTATAATATTATATTATAATTACATATATTAAATTATAAATTATAATAATCCTAAAGTATAAATACTAATAATAATTAATCTTGTAATAATAATTGATGATTAAAACATAAAATAATAAAATTAATTAACCAAATTTGAAATAATATTAAAATTGTATGCTAATTATGCAATTTACCCTAAATTATTAATACAAGATTAAAATAAATTTTATTAATATTTAAGGGACTAAATATGTAATATTTAACATATATATATATAGCAGTGGCTAAAATAAAAGTAAATAAAGTATGAAAACCAAATTAAAACATATAAACCTGATTTTGGTGACCAAAAGTGAAGAATACAAAACTGCGAGGACTTCGGGTGGGATTAAATCATTACAAAATTACTTGAACACCCCTCCCCAAAACGATGCCGTTCGGGGAGGGTATAAATAGGCCCTAACCGGCCCTAAATTTCCCAACTCCCTCATTTTCTCTCCTTGGCTTTTTTCTCTTAGAGTGAGAAGTTCTCCCTTCTCTCTAGGATTCCCTCACAGGAGGAAATTCGACCACCGGCTAACCACCGATCGCCGCCATCGGCCACCACCCACGGTGGTCAGAATTTACAAATTACCCCCAAATCGAAGATCTCAACACCTAAAACCCAAATCTGGCATCCGTTTCTCCTAAAAACCCTTAAAAAGTTCCTAGATCTAGCTTTATACCTTATATCTTTCGGTGGCTTCTAGCGACGTTTGGGCTCTCCTTCGTGGTAAGTTTTTTCCTCTTTTTTTCTTTCGATTATTTTATGTTTTTGTTGATTGCTCTCTATTGTTGTGTCTCTCTTGCTCTTGTCGTTCTTTCTTGCTTGTAGGGTCCCCTTATATAGGCCTTGGAAATCGACCATCATGATGAACCCTATCGGTGAGTCACCGAACCTACAATGGTGACTCACCAAAGAGTGATGCGCTGTGTGCTCTTGTGTGGCATCTTAATCTTCGGGAGAGATCTGAAGAGGCGACAACGTCGTGGCAGCAGGCGGTTGGAGCACCTGGAGGCGGTGGCCGAAATGATAACTTTAGAGTAATGAAACCCTAGGGTTTCTTTTGGATTATGGACCATAGATTTGCCTATGATCCAACGACTGTGGAAGAGTGGCGGATGAAGAAGCATAGGAAACCCTAGATGGGTTTTGGGCTTTTCGGGCCTGTTGGATATGGGTTTGGCTTGGGTTGCTGGGCCTGGATTTGCTTTGTAACTGGGCCTTTCTCTTGTAAATGGGCCTCTAAATGTAATAATAAAATAATAAAATAATAATTTATATGTTAATATATATATATTAAAATAACACTCGGACGAAAACTACTGTCGACAGTTAGGTTAAGTTTTAATTTGGGCCCGAGTTTGGGCTTGGTTTGGAACCATGTTTGATTTTGTTTGGGCCCGATTCGGGTTTGGTTTTGGTCCGGTTTGGGTTTAGTTTGGGATCAATTTATAAATTGTTTGGGCCCGATTTGTAAATGGTTTGGGCTCGATTTGTAATATATTTTTAGTAATAATAATAATAAATAAAAATATAAGAATAATAATAAATATAAAAGACGAAAAAATGGTGATTACAATACGAGTTTGAATTAAAAGTTATATAGCGATAAAGTTCGAGAAAAATTCGAATAATTGCATTTTAATTTTCTTTTTTTAAAAATAATGGGTATTCAAAAATTTTAATTGTTTTCTTAACACAATAATCTAATTTTAACCATTTTTTCTAAAATAATGGGGATGTATTGGCCCCTATGGGAGCTTAGTGGATCCGTCACTGTGTGAAAACACAATGTATATGAGGAATAACAATATTTATTCAACGCCTTATACCCAAGTTAGAAAATGTCATTAAATTTTTTAAAATAATTACTTACATGTGAAATTTTTACAAATTATAAAGTTGTATTAAATTTTTTATTTTTATTAGATAATAAATATTACATCGTTAATATTATTAATTAAATGATGTAACACACTAAAATTACTAGTTAATATATTATTTAATATTTTAATTGTAATTAAAATATTTTTACTAATAATTTTAATAAAAATAAAAACATACAAAATATATAAAATATATAAAAATTTATACTTTACTTTTAAAATTATAAAAACAGATTTTAAAATTATAGTTTTATAATTTTTTAAAAGTCATGAAATTCTTTTGTATATAAATGTAAATCTTACTAAAATCTATTAAGTTGTTCTCCATTTCTCATATATCATAATCTTAATCTTTATTATCAATATGTTAGTATTTTGAGATCACAATACGAACATTTCAAATAAAAACTCTTTTAACTTTATGTAATTCTAATTTATCTGAGATTGATTTGATGGATTTTTGAAAACCCAAAACATAGGTTAATATAGGACCATTAATATTTTTTTACAAAAATATAAAAATACTGAAATATTTTAAGAAAAATATAAAAAATAAATAAATGTTGATTAGCTTGTTTAATTTGTTTCAACAAAAGTGTATAACAAAATTTGATATCAGTAATGAGCAATAGTAATCAAAGTTAAAATTGGTATGCATCACATGTAATTTCATTTAAATTTCTTCACAAACACAATGTAATATTAAATATTTCATGAAAATAATTATACTATAAAAAAGATAATATACATAAAAATATAAATTTATAAAAATGTATGAATATATTAGCAATCTTATTCTTCATTTAATAATTAATTTATTCAATATCTAAACATGATAGTTTTTATATAACGAATCCAATATTATGATAATATAAAAAAATATTAATTTATTAATTAATTTAATAAATAAATTTTTAGTACTATTTTGATCAAATTGGGTTGTGTTGAATTATATTTTATTTTTACCATTTTAAAAATTCTTGTCTTCATCTGTATTTATAATAGTGTTCCATAATGATAAGGTCACTATTTAACGAAACCCTCACAGGCATTTCACACAAATTTTTTTGGTGAAAATATTTTCAAAAGCCATAAGAATAAATTAATAAAATAAAATAACATTTTTTATTGTTTAATATCATTCTAATTATGTATCTATTATTGACTCCTGAAGTCAACCAACTGAAAGCAAACAATAGAAAGCACTGCAAGAGCAGTAGACTGATTTAAAGTATGTACTATTTTTTCGTCTGGACAAGAATGTTTTTTAAACTATTTATTATTTTTAATAAGGATTAATTGTTTAAAAACAAAAGTTAGGTGATTAAAGAATTGTTACAAAAATATAAAAAACATTTTATTTATAATTGAGTGATCAAATGATATATTACCCATTAAATGTGTCACATTATCCCAATTGATAATAATGATGACATAATACTCATTGTATAGCAATATCAAAAGCTTAATTCATATTTTATAACTTTTGAATGTTTAGTATTAAAATATTATTTTAAAATAATTTAAGGTAAAGTATACAAATGATCTATGGGCTATAGACTGTTGCTTTGTTGAGTCCAATGAGTATTGAAAGTTACAAAATAGTCCTTTAACAATCGGGAATTACTTTGTTGTGTCTATGAACTATTATTTTATCCCAAAATTGTTTGACTTGTATAGTTGTTTGAGATTACGAGATCATATTTTATTATATCCTAGAAAACAAGTTAACGTCCAGCTCAGATGTCGTCAATTTTTTAACTGAAATGATGAGTCTGGAATATATAAATAGTTAGGTGACCATTTTGTAATTTTTAATAGTCGAAGGACTCAACAAAGCAATACCTTATAGTTGAGGACTATTTTGTAACTTTTAATAGTCGATGAACTTAACTAAGCAACACACTATGGTCAAGGGACTATTTGTATACTTTTACTCAACAATTTAGTGATATTTTTAAAATTTATATAAAAATTATTTCGCTCAACATCAAATTATTGTATTTACCTGCATTACCCCTCTTTTGTTTTTATTTAGAATTTGAGCTAGACAATGCTTGCTCAAAGTTTACATTACAGGGATACATACAGTAGGAGAGAGATCGAGAGATCTTCACTATTTAACGCTTAATTATCAGCAATAATCTCTCATTTTGTTGCTTCCGATAATTTCAGCTTTGAATATTGGCTGTATTTCTTAAAGAAGCAAACCAACTTTTCCATGGGAAACAAGCTGTCCTTGACGACATCGATCTCTCTGAATTTGTTCTTCCATTTGTGGAGCAAAGGGTATTTGTTAGAGTCGAGAAATCGAAAGCCGGCCACTTGGTCAATGGCCTCCAACCATATAGCTATCCAGCCGAAGGCGATGTCCAAGAACCCTAACCTATCTCCTCCGAAGTATTTCTTTCCTTTCAGCATCCCTTCAAGCACTTCCATGGCCTCTGATACCTTCTTTATCTCTTTCTTTAGCTGCTCTCCTTCCACATATAACGCTCTCTTTGAACCTTCAAGTATCTATCGTGCTCACGGACGGACACAATAATTTATGTAAACGGTGTTAAATAAGAAAATCAATAGAATATATAAAAAAAACGTGAAATATAAGGAATTTAAAATTTTTAAGAGGTAAAAACGGACCCCAAGGCCTCAAAACTTCCCTTAGTCCATCCTGCAACAAAAAAGAAAGACAGAAAGTGAGTTATACATACCATTTGGTCAATGTAGGGAGCCCAAAATCTAGCCATTGCCCTGTCATAAGGATCAGTGGGCAAAATGGGATTTTGTTTCCAAGTCTCATCAATGTACTCAATGATGAAAAGAGATTCAGCTATTGGTTTTCCATGATGAAGCAGCACCGGTACTTTCTTGTGCACAGGGTTGCAATCCAGAAGGAGAGAGCTCTTGCTGTTTATTTTTTCTTCCACGTATTCATATTGGATTCCTTTCAACTTCAAAACCCAGGTCACCCTGTGAACATATGGGCTGAACCATGCACCCACCAGCTTCACCTCCTCCTCATTTCACCAATTTCACCCATCACCTTATATGATTCTCCTGCTTTCAACTCATCCAAGGTTTACTTAAACAGGGGGCTCTCAAGGAAAAATTCTTACTGCAACTCTTCAAGGTTTGAGCGTAATTCATTTTAGTCCTTTTTGTGCTTAATTACCTTAATTCTTTGTAATTTCGGCCCTAATTTTTTTGTTAATGCAACTTTGGTCCATGTTTGATGTTAATTATCTCTTTATAATTTTTTTCCTTTGATTTTAAATTATTCATGCCTTGCATTTTAATTTTGAAATTTAATATGTTTTATTTCATGACTGATGTTCACTGAATCATTTTTTTTGTCCATGAAAATTTTAATTAATTATGCATGATAGCCACATAAAACATGGCTCAATTGATTTCATACTTGGACTAATGGAAATGTTTGATTATTTTATATCTTCGAGTAAAGGTTGTCCTAATCCAACTGATAGTCTTTTCCTGATAATATAAATTAAGAAAATACTCTCATGTGTAATTAAATAAAAATGATGACACATTAACATTGATCAGGAGGATGGAAAAAGTCTTATCGAGAATAGGTCGTTTGATCCTATTTGAAGGTCTAGTCCTAGTATTTTTAAATAATTGAATGTCCTTTGTTCATCTTAATTGGATAGGTAATTTTAATTAATTTGAGTTTTTGTTGCATGATTTCAATTTGAAATAAGAATAGTGCTAGGTTATAAGGAAAACATCGACATTTCATCTTTTAGAATCAGAAATTGCCTCTCTACCTCTTATAAGAGGGCATTTATCCTCGATCAGAAGTGTCGAAATGACATCTTTTTACCTTGGAAGCCTGAAATTCTTGGAGAAAAATATCGATATTTCTACACTTTGGATGGAAAGAGATATCATAGTTCTATCTCTTATTAGAAGGTTATCTCTCTTTGATCGAAAGCCTCGAATCTTGACTATTTTTGTAATACCCAAAAATTTTGGCTAGTAACCAAAATGAAAATTTTGAAAGTTTAGTAGTCAAAGTATAAATTTGGAAAACATTTAAGGACTAAAATGATAATTTTCTAAAAAAAGATATTTTATCATGTAAATGAACAGTTTACCCCAAGAAAGATATTTTTGTGTTAACTGTATTTTTTGTACGGATTTTGTATTAAAAGTTATGAAGCGATAATGTTTGGAAAAATTCGAATAATCAGATCAAATCAGAATTTCAAGATATTTTAAAGGATGATTAAGAAAGGTCAATAATTTCATTTCTATATCTTAAATTAGTAGGATTTAACATGAACCATTGGATTTAATATGAATTTCCATGTTAAATCGGGACCATTGTATTAAAATATAGATCATAATTCCGGGAAAGTTCAAGGGAAAAATTGGAAGCTATCAAATATGTTGGTTTATTTTTTACCAAATGATGAGTATTTTTGACATGTGGATGAACGAGAAAGATATGATTTAAGGGAAAATGGTCATTTGACATTAAAATGAACTTTAATACTATTAAAGGGTCAAATGGCTTATAATTTAAACATGGAATTTTCAAGACTTTTGTTCTTATTTTCTCCAAGAGTCGTGGGTTTTTACGGTATAGAAAAAGCTTTTCTTCTCAATTTTTAAGCCAATTTAGTTGGATTTTGGATGAATCATGAAATAGAAAATTATTCTACATGAAATTCTCTATCATTTGGTACCATTTGTTCATATTTTCCATACTTGAAACCTTTTAAATTCTTGAATTGGATGGATGAAGAGGATGTTAGGTTTTAATGTGTTAAAGCTTGATTATGATGTAGTTGGTGTTGTTGATTCAATTTCATGCTTGAAAGTTAATTGAAAACCATTAGAAATGGTTAATACAAGGTTCAACGAAGCTAGGTAAATTATGAAAATTTGATGTTTAAATTGAAATTGATATGAAATTGATTGTAGTTGATTGGGGACAATATATAGAAGATGAATCCATTATTTAATCAAGTTGGGAACCAAGACCAAAGTGACCTTTGGTATTCGACCTAAGGAATAAAAATAAGGGAAAATTATACAAAAAATTATACGAGGGTTAAAAATGATGAATGAATAATCGTACAAGCTTTACAATGTTGTTTGGGCCATTTTGGAAGTTTATAAAGATTAGGGGACCAAATTACAAAGCATAAGAAATATGGGTTTGAAATGAAAATTGTTTAAAGGTTGATGTGCTATTGTTAGAAGCTTGACTGGAAGATTAATGGCAAGGGATCATTTTGAATATTTTGGAAATGATGAGATGAATTAAAAAAGAATTCATTTTAATGGTTGAATTGTGGAACTTGAAATGTTATGTGAGTTATTGATTGATTTGAATATTAAAGGACTCGAAATTGTACTTTGAAGTATTAAAGTTAACTTTGATAGTATGAAATGAAATTAGTATCGAAGGGATTTTTAGCAATTTTTATGCTATTATGCGCTTACTACGTTAGTAAGATATTAACATGTGCTTCGAAATACATGTGTTATGTTAATGTTGCACGTATAGATTGTGATCGAAACGACCTAAAAGCTAAAGAAAAAGTACAAGAGTAAGGCCTATACTGAAAGTAACGGTTTGATAGTAAGACATATCAGGTGAATGCATAACTATATTTATACTATTGTATATGATATAAGGACGGCTTGTGAGGAGTCAACCTTGAATGTTTTCGAATTAAAACTATTTGAATTATATTATGACATTTTTATTTGATAAATGATTTTTAAATGGTTTCATGTATAAACTTCCCAATGCATTGTTATAAGGGTAAACTACCCCAATGGTCACTGATGTTTGGCTAAGTTTTCGTTTTCACCACTAATATTTCAAAGTTACAAATCGGTCACTGACGTTATCGTTTGTGGCAAATTGATCACTCGCCGTTAACAACCATTAAGAGGTGTCACGAAAAACACACGTGGACCGTTAGCTGCTTACCTGGATCGTTTGACTGCCACATGTATCGAGGCTCGCCCCCACTCCGATCACCCTCGCCACCCATTTCTGCCCCTCCTTTCCCCCTCGAAATCCACCGAAAACGAAGCCTTAACGTCAATATGCGTCAACAATTCAACACACAATCACTCATAAAAAACATTTAGACAACTAAGCTTACTTACACTGCTAACCGTAGTTAAATAAACAGAAATCTGGGGATTCGCCAGGCGGGTGAAATTGTTCCAATCGCCTCTCCAAAACCCCATCAATATAACGAAAGCTATGAAGAGGATATGTAATGCGGTGAGAATCATGTTGACGATGGACCTTTCTCTGGTGCGGTAACAGATGATGAGCGTGATGATTAGTATGATGGCCAGAGCTACGAGGTCGATTTGGTTGAATCTGCTGGGAAGAAATAGGAGAACGAATCTCCATTTCACCGTAGGAATACCCATTGCAGCGTTAAATAGGAGGTGAGTCCCCTAGCTACGGCGGCATTTGACATGACGTATTTGATTAATAAGTTAGCCCCTGTCATGAAGGAGGAGAACTCAACGAAGGTAGTTGAAGGTACCGCCGGTGACGGCCATGTGAACGGTGAACTCGGTGTAGTTGAAGTTGGCCCCCATCGTCTTCCTTTTGTTCTGCATCTCCATAGCCATAAACACCCAAAGATGGAAGAAAACAAAAAGGAAAAAATGGGTTGAAAGTAGCTACCCCAAAGGTTAGGGCAAGAAGAAGAAAAAGAAAATGAAATGGAGGAGTTAAGAAGAGGTTGACACTGATATCCTGCAAAACGTTCCACTAACCTTTCACTATTATTATAACGCCCACGAATCTTGAAAAGACAAAAACAAAAAGGTCCTTTTGCTATTCATTTAACCGAAGAAGAAGCCAAGCCAATTGCGGACTCTTACTTTTCCATCAAGCTCTAGTCTTTACTAAAACAATAGTGTGGTGAAATGGAGAAGAAGATGAAGATGAACAGGAAAAGGGTATCATTATATAATTTAAAAATATATTGATTGTTAAAAAGGAAGGGGATACACAAGATCCATTTAAATTTTATCTTTTTTGTTGGTCTCAACCACTACCACTAGTAATAGTTTAGAAGTGAAGTAAAGTTGGATTGATTTGTACTAATTCGAAAAACCAGACGACTTTTTGCAGCAAAGGGACACCATTTTTTGTCCACTAATTCATGTGATTTCTACATATTCCCCAGTCTATCTTTTTGAATTCTGCAACCTACTCGTTCCTCAAATAACCATGATAAGTTGGCACCGGTCATGAATGCGGCAAACTCATCGAAGGTAGATGAAGGTACCACCGGAGACAAGCATGTGGACGGTGAACTCGGTGTAGCCGAAGGCGGAGAGGAGGGCGCAGAGTCCGGCAATGGCGTAAGAGATAACAACACCAGGGCCGGCGTAGAGGCAAGTAACTCTGTCGGTGGTCATGAACACACCGACTCCGACCATACCTACGATTCCGAGGCCAACTAAATCGAACCAATAGAGGGTTTTTCATATGTTAGGGCTGGAACGGGCCTTTATCTGGCTGAGTTCTTCGTAGGAGGAAGAAACAGAGGGTGCACGGTGAGCAAAGCGATGAGGGGTATGGGCCAAGGCATGGAGGTATGATTGTACATTAGAGAAAGAGGAAGATTGGGTTTCCATTAGAAGTGAAGAAGAAGAAGAAGAAGAAGAAGAAGAGAAGAAGAAGAAGAGGAAGAAGAAGAAGAGGAAGAAGAAGAAGAGGAAGAAGAAGAAGAGAAGAAGAAGAAGAGGAAGAAGAAGAAGAGAAGAAGAAGAAGAGAAGAAGAAGAAGAAGAAGAAGAAGAAGAAGAAGAAGAAGAAGAAGAAGAGAAGAAGAAGAAGAAGAAGAAAGAGAAGAGAAGAAGAAGAGAAGAAGAAGAAGAGGAAGAAGAGAAGAGAAGAAGAAGAAGAAGAAGAAGAAGAAGAAGAAGAAAGAAGAAGAAGAAGAAGAAGAAGAAGAAGAAGAAGAAGAAGAAGAAGAAGAAGAAGAAGAAGAAGAAGAAGAAGAAGAAAAGAAGAAGAAGAAGAAGAAGAAGAAGAAGAAGAAGAAGATTTGGGTAAAATTGTGGTAATGGAGGGCTATAGTTTCATTTATGAAATTTACCCAAATAAGGTTCTCCACTGTGGAGGTCAAACCATCCAGGTAAGCATCTAACAGTCCACGTGTGTTTTCCGTGATGCCTCTTAAGGGATGTTAACGGTGAGTGACCAATTTGTCACAAACGATAACGTTAGTGACCCATTTGTAACTTTTGAAACATTAGTGGTGAAAACAAAAACTTACCCAAACATTAGTGACCATTGGCATAGTTTACCCTTATTATATGTCAATGGTATTGTCATAATGTTTTTAAAAATGAAATAATCGAATTTAACAATAATTATGACTTTAGTTTGGGAAATTGGGATTTTTGATGAATTTTGAAATTTAATTTGAATTTGAATCGGTATCAACCTTTAAGATAGGTAGGTCGAATACCTAAAAATGTATTTTAAAACAATTTTAAGAAAAATCATTTTAAAGACCAAAATTAGCTTGCGTATTGCCAAAAATTCATTTTTAAGAGTTCGTGAGTCGATTACGCGTGAGCAAGGGTAAGCACCCCCACAACGCTAGAAATCAATACCTAATCGCTTATACGTTGTCGTAACAGTGGAATTTGTAAATTCGAGTAAAAAAATTAAAGTACGATCATTTTTAAAAGAAACAAAGTTCACTTTTCGTTTTAATGTCATCGAATCACACTTCTCCTATAGAGTGATGCTTTTCACACCCATTCTACGAGAACACCCTTTAAAATATACAAGTAAGATATAATTTTAACATACACTGACATACAATATTTAAATAAAAAATAATAAAAAATAATAAAAAATTGAATAACAAATAAACGAAAATAAAACAATAACAAAATAATAATAAAAACAAAATAAATAAAATACACATATAAACATATTTTCCAAGTACACGCGTAAAAATATATAATATATAAACATGTTACTATAGTGATTTTAATATAAAAAAATTAAATCTTGAAGAAAAAGCTCATATTATATATATACATACACAATTAAAGCAGAAACATGCATATAGGAGGCTAATTAAAATAAATAAGGAAAATAGAGGATAATTGAGGCATTAACCCAATTTGCTCATATAATTATAAGTCAATTAAAATGGTGACCAAAATAAACACGCAGTAGACTTAAAAGGATCTAAAGCATAAATCACATGTTTTAATGTATAATAAGCATGGGTGACTAAAATGTAATAAGGTGAAAAATAATAAATTAGATTAGATATTTAACTAGAGTACATTCAAAACCAAACAATGACTTAAATGTAAACAGAACAAAACTCAAGGCTCGAAATAGGAAGAAACTAAGGTTCCATTCAATGACTAAAAATATAATATTCCATAACTTCAGGTCTTACTCGCGTAAATAACCTCTACCCCATAATAACCCGAAACTGTCGTGTTTCATAATAACCCTCTTTTAGGGTTAAAAAATATTTCATTTGTTATCCTCCCTCCAGGCGCCGTTTCCTCCTCTTTCATTCATCTTCTTTCTTTATTTTATAAATATTTTAACAAACTTTTCACCCATCATCCGAAACAACATCGTTGTCCATAGAAAACATTCCCCTAAACCTTATTTCTTCAAACCCTTAAACAAATCGAACCCAAACTTGACTTAATCCTTCACCCTATCTTAAAAATGAAACAAAAAAAAAATGAAAAAGAGGCTACCTTTGGTGTTTTGGAGATTCCACGAAATTGATGAAGCAAGGATGCTCGAATCCTTTACCCTCATACTGATATAGGTGACCTGATCCGATATGAGGTGTCACATTAGGGCCACCGGAGCGACCCACAATAAAAATCCAAGAAAAATCAAAATTTCTGTTAAAACGAGTAAAATCATAAAACAATTTATAATTAAAATACAAGTTCAGAAAACCATTCATATAACACAAACTGAATTAAAATCATACAAGTTTCATACTTAGTGTAAAAATCAAATGTGACCTACATGCCCCTAATTACTCTTGTGTTGTCCTCTTCAACCCAAGCCAAAGGAACTCCCATTACGGATGTTGATAGCTGCACTGGATCAATTCTTTTAACTTGAAATGGTGGGTAAAAGAGTGAGCTTTGGGAAGCTCAGTAATACTGATCGCTTGTAAATGTATATACTAAGGCAAGCAATTCTATGCAAGTATACACAATCGAATCAAGTAATATAATGTAAGTGAGTTATCGTCTCCTCAGGGATTGGTCTAGAAATTTACTCTTCACCACAACTAGAACTAGTTGTCAAAAGCTAATTCCTACTATCTTGTCAAACTAAAAACTAATAGTAATAAAACAATAAAGTGCTATAATGTATGTGTGCAGAAAAGTGTGGTCGAGACAAAATAAATATGCAGACTATTGAAATAAAACAAAACAAAGACAATGTTGATTTAAATATAGTTCAAACAAACTAACATATTTAGACTTACCACAGAGCACTTATGCTAATCTTTTGCATTGACAAATATTACTCTAAGTCTAGAATGAATTATTATGACTTGCTTAAGCTGCCCGATAGGATTACTAAGTATTCTTAGACGGTTGCTATGGCAATACTACTCAGCGTTAACTACAACCCTTGGTTTGTCAGATTGTTGTTGTAGCAATACCTCTCAGCGTGAACTATAGGCGTTGTCTATCCTACTATAGCGTCTATCCCTTTTAGTCGATTGAAACCCACTCCTTATCTCTAAGGTAGACAAGTTAGAACATCACCATCCCAGATCCATTCCATTATTCACGTAGATCTATCTTAATTCTATCGAATCTAAGAATCACTATCTAGACAAAAGGCGATCTCTCGATGCTCTTACATTTCCAAGACATGTTTTACCAAAACCCTAGGCAATCTCTCGATGCTCTTACAGTGTCAAGGTAAAATATTCAAACATTGAACAAAACAATCATGAGTAAAATCATAATTCATCATTCATAAAGTAGAAAATAATTGTCTGGGCAAAACAAAGATTAACACTAAGTATGATAGTCATGGTGCTATCAAAAAGTCATACAAGTATCATCGTTTAATACAACCCCAAATATATAAAGAAATAAGAACATAGGAAAAATGACTTCCAAAATCGGGGGCTTTGTCGTGACAATTATGATCAACACCGCGCCTACCTTGGTGATCAGCCTCTCTCGAGATCTGATCACCGCTCTGCTATAGTCTGGCTATGGAGGAAACCAAGGAAGGTTGGTTGGTAAACGATGGGAAAGCACTGCAGTTGCTCGCTTATGCTTTCAGCAAAGCTCTTCTATCTTCTTCCTTGCCTCCTTCTTTGGCGGCTACGAATTGATATTTATAAGAAGGAATCTC